TGTCCTCACCATAGTGTGCCTCATCCACGATAAAATACCGTAAACGATAAATTAGAGTGTGGCTTCTCCTTGTTTATGCTATTTTATTTACAGTGATTATCCACACCCAGTAGAACATCACATTCTACCATGAACAGGACCAAAACGGTCCCGTCCACGATATTTTCACACTACTGAATGCCACCTTAATTGATACTTGAAATTTGAAAAAAAAAACCCAAACATATGAAGTTACTTGTACAGTGTACACTATAACAACACCTAATAAGTGTTAATTGGTTTACATCACAGAAACCTAAGTTGGAAAGTTTACTCACCCTCACTAATGACTCCTCTCCCCTCCAACCCTGAAAAGAAAATTCAGTAGGTACAACCGTATAGTTGTTAGGTGATATCCTATAAATGTCCTGGAACTTCCCATGTAATTCATCCTTCGTGCCAGCTTTTACAAAGAAGGTTGTCACTATAACATATTGCCCTTATTCAAATGGTTTGAGTGGAGGTTGTGAACTTGTTTGTGCAATTGTGCTGAACTGATCATTCAATGAGAGTTCCTGTATTTGCACTTCTTTTTTAACCATATCAGTTGGTGTTAGAGGTGAATCATGAAATGAAGAACAGGTAGGGAACCGAACCGTTGAGCCAGTTTTTTAAACTGAATCAGTCTTATCGGTTTCTAGAAAACCAACAATGAAATCAAATCAAAGTTGATCGGTTAATCGGTTGACCAGTAAGGTTAACAGTTGATTTTTCAGTTTTTTTACATTTATAATATATATTATAAAAAACATATAAATATATAATAAAAATAAAAATATATATAATATTATATTTTAAATAATAAATAATATATTATATATTATAAATATATCTTTATATGTAATGTACATTTATTAATTTATAATATGTAAAAATATAAAATATAAAAAATATATATAATATATATAAAAATATATAAAATATATAGAAATATATGTATATCAACCAATTCGATTAACCATTGATTTTGTATATTGATTAACCGAAACCGAACCAATACCTTCAGTTTTTAAAAAATATGAGTCAAAACCGAATTGACTAATTTGATTAACCGGATTTTTTATTCAATTTCGGTCAATTTTTTTTATTCAATCCGATTTTTAGGTTTTTTTTTTCTCACCCGGGTAGCTGTGATTGCTAAGAGTGAATTAAATAGATACCCATGAAACTTCAACGACATGATCAAGAAAATTCATCACTGAATCCATTTTCTTGAATTTAGGGGTTTGACAGTGAAGTGATTTAATTAGCAGAGAGCGTCTTCTTACGTGAGAGTGCGTCCAATTTTGTGTAACTATCTGGTAAAAAGGCACTAAATGGGTATGATCTGACAGTTTACAGCTCTTAATTGATTGATCATTTGATTGAATTATTTGAAAACAGAGCAACAAAACGATGGGCGGGTGTGCCCCACCACCAAAAGAGTGAATCAATATCATGAGTTAGAGCAAAGTTTCATTCGAACAATCATCATAAACTTGCATTGGGAATATCTTTCCATGAAATAAAGCATAAAAGTATGGAGATATTCTTAATGCAAGGCTATAAAGACTGTTCGAACAGCATTGGAACGGACTTTGTTCTGACTGAAGCCGATCTCTCTCAGAATAAGCTCAGCCGCATCTCAAAAAGTACCATAAAGGTACCCTCATCCTCATCAGCTCATCTCATGTATACGCTTCTCAAGAGAACCAAATGGCCCAGTGTTTGATACTTTGATTAAATGGGTCATATTTGCTCCACAATGCATGCACCCCAAACAAATGAAATTCGCACCGCAAACAAATTGAGCCTGAGAAATTAAGTCAGGCCCCATGAGTCTTGAGTTTAAGGGCCACAAATGATGGAATCGTTAATCAAGTTCAAAACTGTTGTGTGCATTAAACATGTCAAAAGGTCAATGAGCAGAAAATGATAGCAATTGGATTAATCGGAGATTATGCAAATACTCTGCTTTAGGCTTCGTTTGGATGAGTTTTGCTTTTTAACATTGGGCTGTGGAAGATAAATATGAACTAATAAGTGGGTTAGACTTAAGAGTTGCTTTAAACCAATACCAATCTACAGTTAAAACACTTTTACTCCAAAGCATAAACCCTAAAATTGGGGCTGTGTACTTTTTCGCTTCAGAACCATAAATCCTTTCCTTTCCCTACTTTTTCCTTCAAACCAAACATAGCTTAATTAGACTGTTGGGCATAGTGATCACAGAATCTTGACTAGGACCATGTTTCCTTTTTCATGCTGATTGATGTTTAAAGAGCAGATAAGTGAAAATGGATGGGTGAGCCCACAATGGAAAATGAAAGGACATGAGTAGCAGAACTGCTTGAGTGCAGTACAGAGGCTTCTGCCACCATGAGTTTTCAGGTTGCACAAGATTAAACTTGAAGGACGTTGGTGGGTGGGGGCCTTTTTCGGTTTTTGTAGGCAAGCCATTAGATTCAAACAATTAAAGAGCGCGAGATAACGAGTAAAATGAAGTAATTCCATCTTAAATTACTTTTAGCTTTTTATTGGATTTTCAGAGTGTCAGTTCATCATTTCATGGATTTATTGAGGATGTCAATAAAACTGAAACGAACTCGTTTTGGGATATCAAGATATATATATATATATATATATATATATATATATATATATATATCCATTTATAGTTTTTACTAGTATTAAGAAAAAGCAGGGAAAGTAAGTGCTGAGTGATGAATTCATTCAAAGAGGATGGTAGGAGTGATCTTGTTAATGCGAATAGCAGGTTAAACAGATCAAAGTAAGATGCATTGCAAGGGATGAGTACTTTCCAGGCCCAGAATTGGAAGGGTGGAGTTACTGGGAATTCATCACTTAATGGTAATAGTAGCTAGGGCCTAGGGGTGTTCAGGACTGGATTGGATAATATTAGATTAAATCAGAAAATTATAGCTAGTTTGAGAAATTTTTAGATCAAATCACGTTTTAATATAGAAACTAAGGTGGTGGGATTGGCCACGATATATTCAGTTTCAATCCACACTACATCTGTGCTATGCATTCAGTTGTCTGTGGTGTGGATTGATCTTTCTCGTCCGTGTGTTTATCTCGTGGAAGTATTTACATTATACCATTTTGCATATAATGATATAATGATCCTATACTTCGCATGGATGTTTAACCCTAATATAAGACCTAGGATGAATAAGAAAAACTGAAAAATTAAATTAAATTGAAAAAACGATAGAAGTTAAATCAAAAATCCGATTAACCGAACTAGCCACTTCAGTTTCAGTTTGATATTTTAAAAAAAAACCAAAGGTACCAGTTCGGTGTCAGTTAACCAATATAGAAAACCGGTGGTTAACCGAACCGAGCGGTATACATATATTCCTATATATTTTATATATATTTATGCATAATATATATTTTTATATATTATAAATTAATAAATATGAATTATATAAATATATATTTATAATATATAATATATTATTTATTATTTAAAATATAATATTATATATTTCTATTTTTTATTATACATTTATATGTTTTTTATAATATATATTATAAATATAGAAAACCAAAAAACTGACGAACCAAACCAGTCAACCAATTAACCATTCGGCTTTGGTTTGGTTTCGATTACTGGTTTTCCAGAAATTGGTAGGATTGGTTTTGTTTCAAAAATAGGCCCACGTTAATTGAACTATGAGAACCCCTAATAAGACCTCATTTTTTGTTACTTTTATAACACTTCTTTGTGAGTTCGTCGTTGCTAGATTGGATGCAACAAAATCCACATCTGATCTGATTAATGAAACTTTCAAAATGTGATAATCTAGTACCCACCGTTAACTAGCCCGTTAATCAGCCATTAAGTGACATTTGAAAAGCCAAAAATGCCCTAAGATTGCCATCTAATTATCTTTACCAACCATCCAAACATTGACAATAAAATAAATAGTCTCAAATTTTAGATTCTTCTAAACAGTCACTAACATTTTTAAATAGAAGAGGCTAGGATTTGAGACTTCAGTTTTTTGTCAATGTTTAAATGGTTGATAAAAAGAATTAGATGACAATCGAAGGATATTTTTAACTTTTCAAATATCACTTAATGATTGATTAACGGACTGGTTAACAATAAGTACTAGACTATCATATTTTGAAGGTTCAAATACTGTATTGTTGCATTCTAAAAGCCAAATTATCACTTAAGCGAAATTACAATTACTGATCGAGAATTTTCCCTAAAATTAACGCCACCTTCTTACGTAAAATGCGATAGCTGACAAATGACAAAAAGAAAACAGAATTCCAGACTAAACCCTTTCACGCGAGTGAGACAAATTGGACGTATGCTTCATTAATCTTCCTAGAATTGACCTACTTGAGTAATTAATTAGGCATGCTAATGAAGAAATTCATCATCTAATTTTCTAATTAGATCCATGTCAACTTTAGCAAATCATGAAAAGGGTATTACAGTAATTATAGATCTACAACGAAACAAAGAGTGAATACGGAGATATTTACAATGCAAGGCTGTAATTGTAAAGGCTATTCGGACGGGCGTTGCACTGACCGAAGCCGAACTCTTCCAACGATGGCATAGCTACTTGCCATGAATGGTGTACCACTTACCACACAAGTTCCGAACGGTGACGATAAGTAATGATGAAGATTTCGGTAATTTGTCGGTCAGCAAAACGGAGGTCTATGGTCTACCCACTCATGAGTCACGATTTCACGATTTTCTGGGGGCATTTGGTATTATACATCTTATCATAAGATGGGATACATTAGACCCGTTATATATGAGATGTGCGGTGTCGGATTTTGTTGGACTTGGAAGGGTTTTAGAACTTATATCGTTGGCAGGGAATCTCAACTCTTGTCTGGTGGATGCACCCTCGCTGTGTGTGAGGGCTGCGTGTGTGTGAGTGCCGAGGGGGTGCCTCTTGACTCTTGTGAGTTGTGAGTACAAGTGACGATCATCTTGAAACGTTGGACTCTCCGAGAATACCATAAATACTCAGTGACTCACTTCTTTCCAACTCCGACTCCCCAATCCCCACCGCTCTCTCTCTCTCTCTCTCTCTCTCTCTCTCTCTCTCAAACAGTGAGTACTGAGTAGTGGTGGCCTGGTGGGAAAGACAGCGTGCGCATTGCGCACCATTCTCCACTGACGAGAGGAGATTGCGTAACTCTTGTTCAGATATTGGTGGCTTGGAAGGTATCTGTTTCATTGAAGGGTCCCTTTCCTTTTCTTTCATTTCAATGGTACTCTCCCACATTTCCCTTTTAAGCATACAACTTTAGAGTTGAGTTGCGAACAATTAACAAAAGGTAGGATGAATTGTTGATCACAGTTAGGTTTTGTGGAATCTGAGTCTCACTCGGTTCAAGTTCCTACTTTCTTCATCCTTTTTTTTCTTTTATAATGAAATGTGAAGTAGGATTGGAAGAGAATTTCGAATAGGTTTGCACATTTTGATGAATTTTGTGTCTGGAGATGGATCCTCCTCTGATTAATGAATGTCCGTTTCCCGCCGCTAACCCGTCCTCTTATAGCTTGGCTGAGATTTGGCCGTTTCCGCTCAATGGTGGTGGAGGTGTTGGGGATTCCGCTGGTGTTTTGGGATTGAGGAGGAATCATTTTCGGCAGAATTCGGGTGGGTTTGTAGATAGTTCCGGGACGGGGACGGCGGTGAATCGGGATATGTCCATGAATGAGTCAACGGTTACGGAGCAGAGCGTGAGTCGTGGTGGGAATGGAAGGAAGCGTAGCGATGCTGGTTCGGAGGATGAGTCGTCTAAGCTTGTCTCTACGAGCAGTGGCAATGATGTGGTAATCTGTTTTTAATTCATCTCTTCTCCTTTCCAAACTGTCTCTCTTGTTGATTTCCATTTCTTAAATGCTTTTCTTCACTTTGGTTTTGTTATATTTATTTGTTTTTCTGAGTGTTCTAGCAGTGTAAGACTTGGGTAGTTTGGAATTACCGTATATTACTGAAATTTGCCTAAGGTTATTATGATTTAGGTTTTAAACTGGAATTGATATTTCTTATCTGAGAAGAACTTATTGCACTAAAGTTTTTCTTTTGAAGATTTTGATTTAAATAAGCTTCAGTACATTAATTTGGGGCTGTTGATGTGTTGAAGCTGGACTTTTTGAGAGTTAAAATGTATGAGCATGGATGTTCAGTTGGTTGGGAGTTAAAATGTTTACATTAATTCAGATATTTAGATAGAAGTTCAATTGGTTCTGGGTTCTTATTGTAGTTCTCTTGATAACATTTCTCTTTTGAGCAGAACGATTGTGATGGTAAACGTCTAAAGGTTTCTAGATCCAAAGATGAAAATGGTGATTCAAAAACTGAAACAGAAGCAAGTTCTGGCGCCCGTAACAAGCCAGCTGAACAAAACACACAACCTCCTGAACGGCCTAAGCAAGATTACATTCATGTGTGGGCAAGGAAGGGCCAAGCTACTGACAGCCACAGTCTAGCAGAGAGGGTAATTAACTTATATCCTCTTAACTTCATTATTTGCATTTATACCTTGCTGTAAATGTGTAGAAATAGTGACCAAGTTTCTGAGGTTCACATGGAAACATTTTTAGCTTTACATTGAGATGCATAAACACTGCCTCTTTATTATTGCTATCATCTAGAAAATAGATACTTTATTGGATGCAGATGGTGCACCTTATAGATGATGTCCACATATACCATATAAATTGATTATTGGAGCCATTTGTTGGACAGGCTAGGAGAGAAAAGATCAGTGAGAGGATGAAAATTCTTCAAGATCTGGTTCCTGGATGTAATAAGGTACAATATTGTTGCTTCAGTGCTTATATTATTGGTCTGTTTACCTTAGCATATGCTGTAACTTCTCTGTGTTATGAAGCCAGTGCTATTTTCTGAAGAGTGTTGCTCAGAAAAGTTTTGTTATCTAGGTCATTGGCAAAGCTCTGATCCTTGATGAAATAATTAATTACATCCAATCACTCCAGCGTCAAGTTCAGGTATGCATCCTTTTTCTCTGATTTACTTTGTTGCTTTATTTATTTATTTATTTTTTATCTTTGCTCCTTTCAGCCAGTGAACTTGAAACTGGATTTATATAAAACTTTTGGATGGTAGTTTTTGTCTATGAAGCTTGAAGCAGTTAATTCAAGAATGAACCCAGGCATTGGAGGATTCCCTTCAAAAGATGTAAGTCTTAATTACATAGACTGAACCATGCTGCCCTTTCTCATTTATTATCCTAGGAACCAAATGAAGACTTTGAGTGCCATATTAATTTTCAGATCAACTTGGTTAAGTCTTGATCATTAAAATTGCACCTTTTTTGTTGAAAAATTATATGGTAGACTACCAATCGAGGGCTGCTTCGTTGGTGTGTTAGCTGGGTTGCTCCAGCATTGACGCAGAATCAAGTCCCGTAACCAGCACTTTGGGGAAAAAAAAGGGTAAAGGGGAAAGTTATGGGTGATTAATCAAAAAAAATTATATGGTAGACTGCAAATCCTCACGTAACATTATTCCTCATGCTATATATGTGGTATTGGGCCATCAACCCAGCCGACTTAGTTGATGTCCGTCTTAACCCTTAACCCTATCTCTTCTACTTTTATGAATGCAACTCTAGATTGGAGACCATCTTCCAGTGGGAAAGTTGGTTTTCGTTGTCCATTTATGTTGTCAATTGACTGTGTAATGTGTATTGACTTTGGTGAACCAGTCACACAGTTTCACATATTATTTGGTTTTGACAATGATGATTGGTGGTTTATTATGCCTATTTTCTTCTCATCATTGATGTCAGCTTGTCAAAGACGAGAAAGGCAGGGATGTAAGTAATGGGGCAACACAAGGCATTATAAGTGAAGAATTCAACTCTCTCCTAATGTGGCCAAGTGTGAGACTCAGATGAGGTGATTGGTGCACATCACTGAGGTGCCCCATGGGGAAAAAGTTATTTTCTTTGTTCTTTAGGCTGCATTTGTTTGTGATACAAACATTGAACCGGGGTATTTATGTACCCCGGTTTGGATTTGTGAGTGTTTGTTTGCCATACAAAAGTGAAATGATTAAGAGGGAAAATGTTTTTTCCTGACATTTTCGTATCGTGAGGAGAGTACATTACTGTATCCATTTGATGGATACAAACTTGTACTCATCAGATCTCAATGTAAGTAGGCTTACTTTATTCTGTTGAGAGAGAGAGAGAGAGAGAGAGAGAGAATGGGTTTACAACTGTTAACCATTTTGCATTCATGAACCAAAGAGAACGTATTTGTGTAAAGTACATATTTGCATTTGTATTGCAAACAAGCGCAACCTCAAGGGAAAAAAAGTTCCTTCTTAAGGCTATGTAGCTTGGCATGTTGGTAGGTGTAATAGGTCATTCATGTTGTATATGGTTTAATCTTAGAAGCATTATATCAATGGCTCTGTGTTGTTAAAGTGATATATTCATTTGAATTTTGTATGAAACATCCATGTGAACAAAAAAAGTACAATGAACAACAATTTTGTGAAGAAGAATATTAAAATTTCCAAGAAAATATGAACAAATCCAAGCAAGGCTTTGCTTTTCTTTTTACCTTTTTTTTATAAATAAAAGTTCATTAAAATTCATTATCAACAAAAAGAAAGAGACTGTTATTTTCTCTTTTTACCCTTCTTACTTGCCAGTCTTTCTCTTTGATTCTTCTTTTGTAGACAGACAAAACAATGAATAGGGATGCCACCTGATGATGCGCATTTCGGCAGCTCCCGGCTGGCAGGTGACTCAGATGCCTGGCTGAATAATCCCTACCTGGAATGTGGCTTGGATGCCTAGCTGAATGGTTCTTACCTAGAAGGTGGCTCTGATGTCTAGCTGAGTGGTGATGAGCTGGAGAGGTGGCTCTGATGCGACCTGCCAGGACACAATGTCAGAGTGCCCGGGTTGCTTTACCCGGGGTGTGCACTTCGATGCGTAAGTTAGTGAATCGGAGATTTTAAGATAGCTAAATGTGAGAGATCTAGAGAGCTGCGAGAACTAAATTGCGCATCTCCCCCCTGGAGTTGGAGGTAAGGCTTTTATATAGGAGGCATTGTTTGGCGTGAGCATCACGCAACACGTCCGGGATCTTTGGGAGGACGTGCCTAACTGCTCCGAAGTCCTCGGAGGTAGTCGTGCACGTAGGCCAATCTTTGCGCCTTACTCGGTTTCTCCCAAAACATTCGGTGTGAGAGCTAACTTTCGAGAGACCCGAGAGTGATGGGATGCATGCAAAAATTGACGGCGAGCACGTCTCGTAGGTCACCACCTAGACCTCAATCAAGTCGGCAAGCCCTCGAGGGAGGTCACTCCCCATGTCGAGGTCGCTTTAGTTGATATTGACGAGGTACCACAGGTCGGCCTTGGACGAGGTGCTGCTAGTCGCCCTGAGTCGTGGACAAGGTCGCTGGCTAGGTTTCTACTAGGTTGGGGGTGGAGGCAGGTCGCCAGGTTGGCGCTAGAGGCA